TTTCTACAAAATGTGGTATCTTTTTCCGTGTTTGGAGGCTTGAAGGCCAGGACTAGAAGCATCTGTCTCCAAGCAACTGGATTGGCTCCGAATAGCAGCGCATGTTCTGCAAGGAGCATTGCAAGCCTGAGAGGTCTCCCCTTGATTCACTCAGATGGGGCTGGGAATGGCTGGGAATGGCTGGGAATGGCTGGAAAATCCACAGTTGTTATACGAAACTATCGGATGTTCCATTGCCGGTAGGAGGCTTGCGACTTGCTGGTGGTGTTGGCTGGTGTCCCAGTGCGATACGCAGAAAAAACTGTGCAACCCCTACAAAACCCACAGTCTCTTGAAAAAACACTGGTCTGAACTGGGCACGGGGGAAGTCATGGATGAAGTGAGGTACCGTAGCCATGGATTGCCATACCCACTTTACAGGGGATTTTGTGCTGCCCAAAGCATCCATCTTTCTAGTCACAGATGGCAAGCTTGCCCAGTCGTACCATGACAAAATTAGACCTGTCAGTCACTGAGTTCCAGATCTGGTTGTCGGAAGTTTTCAGTAAACCCTGCACATGAATGGGCAAAGACACGAGTTCCTGTACATTCAGGGATGTTCAATGTTCACCAGGGCTCTTGAGTGCACCGAAAATGTCCGAAACACGTCATAGACTTATATTAACACACCCTCTAAATGGGTCTGGGTTTCTCTATTTGGTCCCCCAATAATTGGATGGTTCATACTAAACCTAGACTGAAATCTGTGATCCCCCAACTCAATATAATTTTGACCCATAGCCGCTATAGCCATATCTCCCTTGAACCCAACTCAGAAAATCCATCCCTATCAGACCAGGTGGTTTTTCATTCCCTACTTGGGGGTGTTGGGGCTATTCTCTGTTGTGTTTTTTTTACTAATGCAATCACCTCCATAAGGTGGGATATAACATGATATAACCCCATATAACCCCTACAACTATCTACAACTACATACTCATGTAACCACCCCCAAGTATAATATTCATATTCAATATCGGCCACCAGTAGTTACGAGTACTCAACCAATCGACCAATGATATCCTTTTCATCCAAGGGTCTTATGGTCATGTCCAACATGTCGGCCCAGTAGGGTGAGCTGGTCTGCGTCACCACTGCCGTGCTTTGTCTTTGCCTTGGATCCCACGGTGTCATCCCAGGGTCCCACGGTGTCATCGAAGATGGGAAGTCAATGGAAATCCATGAACTGTAAATGGGCACTCAAATGGAACAATCATCTACAAATCTGACAGTTTCGACAGTTTCCAAGAAACCATGTTTGATCATGTTTGATCTAGACATGGGATATTTTCCAACCAACGATGCTTGAATACGAGAGAGCACATGTGACTGAACTAATTACTGCCAAATTTCATGCTATCCCAACGTTCTTGGAGAAATATTCATTGATATTCACATATTCACGCAGGTGGGGAATACACAGACCCTCCTTTTTTTTAACCAGTTGATAGCTTCCATTTTTGTTTGTAAACATCTTCCATGATGTTTGTTGGCCTATTTTAATCCCTGTGTGTCGTTTAACTCCGAAGGTTTTCTGGCTAAATGCCACTTGTTGTTGGTTTAAAACCAGTTTTTGGTGGTAAATATTCTTGCTGCTAAAGACTCTCCAACATGTAGTTGGTTCACTCCCAATTTCGTTTTTGATAAATTGCATTTTTGTTGAGGATTTGGCAAGTTTTCCTGTTTAATCTACATCTTTAATCCCTATAGGCCCTATGGCCTATGGGTCCCCGTGTCTGTTCGTTCATTCACCAGTTTTACTGGCCAAATCCACATTTTTTGCCAGTTAAGCTGGTTGGTGGTATACCTGCCCCTCTGAAAAATATGAGTAAGTTGGGATGATGGCATTCCCAATATATGGAAAAATAAAAGCCATGTTCCAATTCCAAACCACCATTAATCCATTGTTTAATCCCCATTAAGCCACCATTAATCCCCATTAAGTCACTATTAAACCACCATTGATTGGTTAAATTTCGCCATTTCTGGTGAACGTCCCCCATTTCGTCCTCCGCATCGCCAAGAAAGGGGCCCAGCGCAGGCCACTTCGCAAAAGGAACTCGGCACCCGATCGCCTTCACACTGCAGGCTGCGTGCCTTAGACGGGTTGGATTTCCACATTACTCACAGTTCTTTCATATGGAACCTGTCACCATGTAATGATTCTACACATGAGGCCATCACATTTCTGACATTTGAAGATTTTATTTTATTACATGTTATTACCCACAGTCATACGGAACAAACTGAGGTATTGCATAAGTGGGTAATAACCTGAAATGACTGAATACAATACCCCAGTTATAGGTTTTCTTTAGGACTTGTTTTTTGCAAAGAAACCCACGAACTGGGATGCACATTCTGTAATCCTGTGGAGGTTTACAAATCATTTTCTCTGTTCGATAGGGGGCCAGAAGTGTAAAACAAACCTAAAGCAAGTCTAGGACCTACATACCAGGAACATATCCCGAAGTAGGAATAAACATTCTATCAATATGATACCACTATGCTCTCGAAATAACATTGTGAGGGTGAAGTTCCACTCAGTAAGTGGGTGTATGGACATAATCACAGGGCGTTTGTATCCCAACTTCTGGGGAAACTGTCACGGAGTCCATAGTAGTCTCAACGTGTGAATCGGGTGATCTGCAGCTGTATTGAATGCCAATGCCAATTGAGATCATCAATCAGATAAGATTGAACATAAGCATTTTGGAAATAATTTGAAATACCACCCAGACAGAGTACCTGCATCTTCATAAGATTTCATAAGTAACTAAGACTAAATATAGGTATGGGTCCATGAAAAGAATAGGAAAACCACGGGGGGCCAAAAGGTGTTGTTTCTGTTAGTGGTGACTTACCTTTTTTTTTCCTTTCGGGGGAACCCTGTCAGATTGGCTTTCTTAGATACCCTCCAAAAACAGTTAAGGTTCTGTGCAATATTTGTCGTGTTGCCCCATGAAAACCGCTAGACATTGGGCCATAAACGTGCCAAATCAAGGTAAACCGTGTGAATGGACCACACATTTGGAGTTTCTGTAGTAAACAGTGAATAAACAAATAAAAGGCAAGTCATTAGAAATAGCACAAGAAAGGTTTTCAACAATATAAACTATAAACTATACCCATACTAGATGAATAAACATACAACCCCCATACACAATACACACTTGAAACACAACAGCGCACCCACATAACACAAACAACATCGCCGTCATCACGATGATACTCATACTGATTCGTAAAATGCTCTCATACGCCCCACATTCCACCAATACTCTCATACATCTAACAACAGTGGTTTTTTCATGTTTTTTCGATAATCATCATGCGCCAAGAACGGGAGAAAATGCCACCATCATGCCATGTTGATGTAGCAGCGCAATTGGAACTTCACCGGTTTGCAGTTGGGCACGCCTCTGGTCAGCACCTTGGCTCGCGAGAACCTGGTGAATGCATACTTGACATAACACATACGGTGACAAAGCTCAGATACATTCAGATACCCCATATATATCATATATAATCTCTCATATATGTGTATATATGTAATGTATGTATATATATATATCAAATCTTAGTTTGGCTGGCAAACAAACAAGATCAAACAAGCACCCCCAATTTCACGTACCCTTCATCAAGGTTCCTCCAGATGTTCGTATCATCAGCCAGTTCCAAATAAATCTGATAGTCATTGAGACATCTCGGGGCACCAATGGGCCCACAGTAGTAGGTACAGTACTCGCTCTTAGTAGTGTATAACCATCGTCTCAAAATAAGTTACCCCAAAATCAAAGGCTCCATCATCACATTGTCATCAATATTAATTGAATAAATCACCATTTCATGAGTATCCTACATATTTTTACATATTTTTATAGACTTTCCGAATCTTTTCACCAGACAATTCGAGTCATAGATTTTTCACCGGTCCAAGTAGCAGTGTCTTGGGACTTAGCTAGGGAGCATAGGATGGAACCTGCACAGTGGTCGAAAACTGGTGGGGTGCCTATCGGCGCGGTGGAAAATACGGAACATATATATATATATAATATATATATATATATATAATATGTTAAGTAGCAACATTGTCCAACACACGTTCATGTACAGTTCCAACATGTCACTGGATGTTCCTGGCAACATCTTGGATCAACAAGGCCTTGAGCCAGGCCTTTGTATGCCAACAGACAAAAGGCGCGTACAGCAACAGCTGCAACAGAGAGACAACAGGCTGCCTTGTGATTTCACATGGTAGCGGAGCAGTGATCCTGGAAGCATCCAGGTGAGCTCCAACAGGCAGAGGGCTTGATCCCAGAACACTGGGGGACTCTCAACAACAGCTGGAGCAACAAAGGGTAGCAGCCCAACACCACCACTGCAACGACAAGGTAAAGAAACAAACTCAACAACAAGGTGCGCAGGAAGAGGGCTTGATCCCAACTATACAGTGTGGGGGACCCTCAACAACAAGGATGGCGACGCCACATGAGATAGGATCGCCAACAGCAGGAGAAACACAAGCAGAAGCCCTAGGATCAACACACAGGCTGAAGTTGAAACCTCCAACATACGATGGAAACTACGCAACATTCGAGGAATGGAAGTACAAATTCTCAGCATACATGGGCCTACAGGACAACATCTTTCCACAACTGCTTTCAAGAGCAGAAAGAGCAACAACAGTGCTCACAGATGCAGAGCTGCTCGGTGCAGCCTCAACAATAGAGCAAGGAGAGAAATGGACACAACTTTGCAACAACCTCAAATACATCCTTATCAACATCACCAGCGGTTCAGCAGCAACAGTTTGCAGACAATACCAAGACGCAATGGGCCTAGAGGTCTACAGGCAACTGTGCAACAGGTTTGCAATACCTGTTGGAACAAGAAGCATAGGCTACCTCACAAAACTACTCAAGCCAACTTTCGACATCAACAACTTTGAGGAGTCCTTCTCAACATGGGAATTTGAGCTTGCACGTTACGAGCGTGACAACAATGCACAACTACCAGACCAAGTGAAGATAGCAGTTCTCATGAATGAGACAACAGGACCACTCCAACAACACTTACACCTCAATGCCAGCGCAACACCAACATATGCTGAAGTGAGGACAACAATCATGGAGTACTACAGAACCACAACTGCGTTCTCAAGACTTCAACAACAGTCGTCTTCAGCAGTCAGCAGCAACTTAGGAGGAGGCCCAGCTCCAATGGATATTGGAGCAACATATCAAGGCAAAGGAAAAGGAAAAGGAAAGAGCAAAGGAAAAGGATTCAACAAAGGAGGTCACAAAGGAAAAGGATACCACCAAGGAAAAGGCTACGGAGGCTACGGCAGTTACAACAAAGGAAAGGGCAAAGGAAAACAACAGCAATGGTATCAGCCAAAAGGAGTAGAGAAAGGAAACAAAGGAAAGTCGAAAGGAGCTCACAACAAAGGAAAAGGAAAGAATCCAACAGCAATATACTACAGATGTGGTCAACAAGGCCACTTGGCAAAGGATTGCCGAACAGCGGTGTACAACATTGCAGAGACACCACAGGAACAGAACCAGGATGGAACATCCCAATGGTATGACCCAAACAGTGGGTACGACAACTACTGGTACAGCAACGACCAGTCAGGCAACTACAATATCCAGCCAGTCCAACAACAACAACAACTAGCTTTGCCAGCGCCACAAACCAACACGCAGACACCAACAATACAACTTGTGGGAGCACTGGGCCATCAGGCAGCAAGTGCCCACAATGAAGCAACCACCACAGCTCAAGCAGTGCAGCAGCAGAGAGGAGACAACGAGGTGGACATTATGATCGACAGTGGAGCAGCAACACACGTTTGCCCAACATGGTTTGCACCAGGCACACCACTGTATCCACTACAACTTGGACAAGGACCTAGGCTGAGGACAGCAACAGATGAGGATATCCCAGTGCATGGCTACAAATGGGTGTACATGCACAACACCAACAAGCAAACAATAGTTGTTCCCTTCTATGTGTGTGATGTGACGCAACCCATCATGTCAGTAACAAGACTGGCAGAACAAGGGTTCAACACACAACTTAACGAAACACCAACAATCACACACACCAAGGGATTCAACTCAGCACTCAAACAACGAGAAGGCCTATACTTCTTGCCAGTTGTGCTGATCACACTTCCAGCCAACTTGAGGCTTGAAGTCAGCCAGACAGCAGAAGGAACAACAGCAAAAATAGCACCAGTCACACTGACACCAACAGGCATGGAAATCCTTCGCAACAAGAATGACCTATGGACATTCAACAGCCAAGGTTTCTTGGTAAGAGTCCACAGGACAACACGCAAGGCATTGTTCATGCCAGACAGTAGATGTCCAGTTCCAACAGAAAGGTTGGAGAACTACAGAAGAACAATCATACAAAGACCGAACAACAACACAGAGGTCATCGAAGAAGCATACCAAGACCTCGACAAGAAGCAACAGAAGAGGATCATACAAGGAAACAACTGGACAGGAGAAACATGGTTCAAAGTGAAACGTGGAACAGTACTTGCAGGCAACATACCACCACAACCAGCACTTCCACCAGCCAAAGAGCCAGCGACACCATATCAACAAACCACAGCCGACCAACCACAAGCACCAATGTATCGGCACAACGTGAAGAAGCCTCTCACAGAGGTAAGGCCAACAGACCAAGCAATGACCGCAACGCAGCCATATCAAACAGCAATTCCACATCCAAAGGAAGTCAGTCCAACACAGGACTATTGGATCAAAGAAGGTCCATATTGGAAACGTGTGCATGTCCAACCAAGAAGGGACATGTACATTCCACAACAAGCAGATGATGGACCAGACGTGACAAGACTGACAACATGGAGACAAACAATTGTGAAGCCAACAAGTGGCAACAGAGGATATAGAATAGATGATGACTGGACGACAAAGAGGAGAGCAACACTCGACATAGAGTGGACAGGCTCAACAAATTTTGAAGAAAACGCAGCATACAAAGATGAGTTCATCACAGATGAGCCAGAGGAGCAACAAGAAGCTAAGAGAGCAAAAGGAGTGCCAACACCTCAGCAACCAACAGAACAAGAAAGAAGAGAACACGAGCTCACACACCTTCCCTACAGAAGCTGGTGTCCAACATGTGTACAAAGCAAAGGAAGACAGGACAACCATCCAAAGCAAACAAGCAAAACACCAGTGATCCAAGTGGATCTGATGTACTACAAAGCACTAGGAGAAAAGCAAACAACATCAGTCCTTACAGCAGTGGACGTTGAAACAGGCATGTGTATGGCAGTCCAACTTGAGGACAAGACACAACACGTACAATACCTGTCAGTTTGCCTTCAACAATTCCTCATGGAATGTGGCAGAACACATGCAATTCTCAACAACACCGTTCTTCAATCAGACCAGGAAGACTTTATCATCACCTTGCTCAAGATGGTGGCAACAGCCATGGGCAGCAACATAGCAGTCAGGCAAGCACCAGCCTACACATCACAAGCACAAGGAAGCGTTGAACGTTTCCACAGAACATTGATGGGCCAAGTCAGAGCTCTCAAACTCCAACTGGAGACCAACTATGGCATCAAGCTCAACAGCAAGCATCCCATCATGCCGTGGCTTGTCAAACACGCAGCATACCTGCTCAACAGGTATTCCATTCACTCAGATGGAAACACAAGCTACTATAGACGATGGGGCAAAGAACACAAAACACCAATATGTGAATTTGGTGAAACAGTTCTCTACATGCTACCAACAGCAAAGCAGATGCCAAAGATGGAAGCAAGGTTCTACCCAGCCATCTGGCTAGGTAAGGACAACTCAACAAACGAGAACATACTTGGCATCAGCAACAAAGTGGTCAAAGCAAGGACCATTCGAAGACAAATCAAGCCAGACAAGTACAACAAGCAGTTGATGGACATCATCAACTCTTCGCCAGCCATGATACCACCAACAACACCAAGCATTGTGGTACTACCACAACCTGCTGCAGCAAAGCAGCAGACAACAACAAGCACACAGACTCAGCAGAGTCCACAACCAAAAGCCATGGTACAACCACACGCTACACCACCACCAGCACTTACGGACCTTCCAATGGCAACAGCGCCAGCAACACAGCAAGCAAAGCAAGCACTTCCAATGCCAACACAAAGCAAAAGAGAAGTAACAGATGAGATTACACAAGGCAGCTCACCAAAGCAAGCAAGGACAACAGAAAGAGCCACAGCAGCCAGCCGACCTGACACAGCTCAGGAGCCACCAACAACAAGGATGAGGATATCACAAGTCACAGTCACAACGAGGAAAGGACAGAAGATAGAAGCAACCTCCAACGAAGATGAACAGGAGATACAAGCTGAAAAGATTCTCCTGGAACCTTGGGTGAGCAACACCGAAGGTTTAGAAAAAGAACAAGCAACGGAAGGAATGAAGCAAGAAATCAAGTCAATGAAGGAACAAGGAGTGTACACAGAGGTACACATAAGCCAACTTACACCAGAACAACGCAAGAAGATCATCAAATCAAGATGGGTTCTTCGACAGAAAGGCAACACAGTTCGAGCACGAATTGTAGCAAAGGGCTACACAGAGGAGATCAATGACAACGACGACATCTTCGCGTCAACACCAATCTTCTGCGTTCTGAGGATGCTACTCGTCTTGGCACTTTGCAACAACTGGATTTGTCTCACAGGAGACATTTCAACAGCCTTTCTACATGCAGCAGCAGCAACAGCAGATCTTTTCATGTATCCACCAGCAGAGTTCTACAACGCCTTCGACCAGATCGTTTGGAGACTCAACAAAGCCATCTATGGCTTACGCAGCAGCCCAAAAGCATGGCAAAATCACCTAGCAGAGGTGATGCAACAACTTGGACTACGACGACTTGTCAGCGAGCCCAACGTTTACGCAACACCTGGAGGAGATGCCTACATACTATGCTACGTCGACGACTTGCTCTTCATTGGACAACAGGAGACGGTCAACAAGCTGTTCAAGAGCATTCAGCAACACCTTCTACTACGTCCTACAGGAGAACTCACAGTCGGCAACACCATCAGCTTTCTGGGCAGAAACATCTGCAACAAAGGTGACTACTATGAGATCAGTCTCGCGGACAGCTACACAACAGAGCTGTTAGAAGAAGCCAACATGCTCAACTGCAATCCAGCACCAGCACCAGGCACCAACACTCTGAAAGCAACATCAGAGATGGAGCAAGAACTCAACAAAGAAGAACATGCAGCCTACCGAAGAATGGTTGGCAAGCTACAATGGATGACCTACACAAGACCAGACATTGGCTTTGCAACAAAGGAGCTTGCAAGAGCACTGACACAGCCAACAACAGCAGACCAGCAGAAATTGAAACACTTGCTCAGGTACATCAAGGGAACACAACACTACAAACAATACATAAGACCAACAACCAAGACACCAACAGCTGAAGCAGTACCAGACATCGAAGTCTTTGTCGACAGCGACTGGGCAGGATGCGCGACAACGAGGAAGTCAACAACAGGATTTCTAGTCAAAGTCTTCGGCGCAACAATCCACTACGGAAGCAGGACGCAGGCAACAATCGCGCTGAGCAGCGCGGAAGCAGAACTCTACGCGATCAACACAGGAGCAACAGAAGCACTCCACATCAGCAATTTCCTGAAGGAAGCTCTCAACATGAAGAAGATCAACATCCGCATACACACCGACTCATCAAGCGGAAAGAGCATGGCAACCAGGATTGGAGCATCAAAGAAAGCCAAACATATCGAGCTCAAGCACCTTTTCATACAACAACTGGTCGCACACGATCTTGTGAGGATTGTCAAGATCAACACGACCAATAACCCGGCCGACATTTTCACCAAGTACGTCGCGACAGAGACGCTTTTGCGTCACATCAGTGATGTTGGCATCAGCACCCAGCGTCACTGAGCAAACAACAACAAGCAACAACAACAGTTTCACTGCAGCATGCGTGTTAATGTGCGAGCGCGTGCGCAACGTGCGAACATCGTGCGTGGCATGCACACACAAACATACATACTTTTGAGCCATGGTGTCAACAAAGGTTGACAACATGAACTACCCCATAGTGATCCCCTATACTTCAACATGGAGTATATGAACAAGATACTCACACAGTATTTCAACGTGATCTCTATGTCATATACCTCTTCAACATGACGGATCCAACATGATTGTGGACGTGTATGACAACATTTTGTTTTGCAAGGTTTGAAGAATTCAACAGTTTGACGTGCAGCCTTTTGGATGTCAACATTTTTTTGTTTGACCTCAGCAGTCGTTTTGCTCCAACATCGGTGGACGAAGCGAACACCTTTGACGTTGAGGATGGCAACACTCCTCAACATCCATGTGGCAGGTGCGCCAACGGTGCCGGTGATCCCAAAGATCACCATGAGCAAAATGGGTCTCTTGTCCCGAGCGGTCAACAGGTCACTGGACCTCAACATGGATGGTTTGCAGCCTTGGTAAACGCCCTCGAATACACGGGCTTCCAAGCTTGCAGCAAAATGCCCATGGAGATCCAACACCATTTGGGTCAGATCCTTGAAGGGCAACATCCATTGCAACAGGGAGTGCAGATTCCCTACTGGGGATCGAAAACTCCTGAAAGGCTCAGAGGCAACATTGCGGTCCTCGAGTACATCAACAGCAGCACCAACTTTGGGCGCTTTGTGGAAGAGTTCAACAACTATCATGGTGGAACAATGGAAGAGGACCAGCAAATGGAAGGATGAACAACATCCAACGATGGGTGAGACTGACACCAGAAACAACAGTCTGGGGTGAAACTGCAACATCCCTGGGTTCAACACCCTAAATCAACAGAGATGAGTGCAACAGGGAAACCAACAACTGAGAGTTTCGACAGATAGTTTGTATACTAGCACCGTTAGACAACATTCTTCTGTCAACACCTTAGTAGTGTAAAGTGTACAGGTTGGAAGACCCAACATATAAACTACATAATGTGATTGCGTTTCAACAATGTTTGTTTTGTGCAATGTGTTGGAAGCTCCAACAAATTGAGGGGCCGTGTTAAGTAGCAACATTGTCCAACACACGTTCATGTACAGTTCCAACATGTCACTGGATGTTCCTGGCAACATCTTGGATCAACAAGGCCTTGAGCCAGGCCTTTGTATGCCAACAGACAAAAGGCGCGTACAGCAACAGCTGCAACAGAGAGACAACAGGCTGCCTTGTGATTTCACATAATATATATAATATATATAATATATATATATATGAGTTCTATGGCAAATTCCAGGAGAATTCGTGAACACCTAACAAAAAGATCATACGAGGTTCCTATTGAACATGAATGAACATGAATAATTGAGACCCCATGGAAGTTCGATCGGTGCTTGAACTTGAAATCATGTCATTCTCCGCAGCGAACAGTGGGAAACTCATGCAAACTCCAGGGTTAATTGTTTTCATTTTCTAAGCTGGCCCCTCAGCCCTGACCCAAAAATCATGGATGTCACCGGAATCTTGTCTAGGCATCAAAAAAATTGGCGGCCTATGGATGGCGCCATGGGCCAAAAATTGCTCAACTCGGCGTGCCTGGTTCGACGCTGCTCGGCAAATGTGCCATGTTGCTCATGGCACACCAAAGGGGTGTCCTTGGCTCACGTCACCGAACGAGATCCTGAAGGGATCAACAAAAACGAGCGACAAACATAGTTGGTGGTTTGACCAAGAAAAATGGTTTTTGTCATCCCAAAACCAAAGATGGACAAGTTGGAGATCTAAAAAATAAATGAGGTATGTATCATCTAGAGCATCCTGAAAAAGTTGTATTTTTATACTTGATCTTTTTAGGGACCACTGTAAGTCTAGAAGTCACTCCATGAAAAAACTCCACAAACAAGCAGGCAGGGTTAGAGCGTTGAACACACCCAGAGGATGTTGTTACTTAATGATTCAGCCCTATCAAACCTCCAATATCGTCCAATATACGTTTAACCGGGGGTTGATCACAAGGATGGGGAAAACAATGCTGTAAGAATTCTTTGGATTAGCAATAAATCCGTACAAACATATCAGTATTGATAGTTAGATTGTATCCTGTAAACAGTGTGTTGTTCATCGTGTTCATCATAAGGGCATTTCCCAAAATTAGAGTGCCCCAAAAGCATTGGTTTCCATTCCCCATGAACAACATGACCTATACTCTGGGGTCCCCAATGACTTATAAGACCCCCATATGTATGTGTATATATATATACTTGGATGCATATGGATGCATGTGGAAAATTAGGGGAACACCTCAAAATTCCATGGCTTTCCTCATCAAAATGTGACGTTTCCTCATTTTCACACACAGCCAAATATGATATTGTTAGTGGGATACATCCAATTATATCCCCATATTATCCCAGTATGCCCACTATATGATATCCTACTAAATATCCCCATCATACATCATCCATATATATCCCATAGATATCCCCTTTAAACCCACAACACCGTTGCACCGTTGCAGCGTTCAGCGAAGCGTCTGCGTGTCTCCCTCCCATTCTCGAATCTCTCTCACCTGGCGCTTTCGGCACAAGACGCTGCGGGTTGCGACGTCTTTTTGGGGAAGGACGGAAGGACGGAAGTTTGAGCCACTGGTTATCCCATGTTATCCCAAGTTTTTAAGGGACGAAGTTTGCCAACTATTTGGAAGTATCCCAAGGCTACGGAAAGAAAAAAGAGATAGAGTCAGATAGAGAACACCTTTTGGCACGCCTCATTCTGCAAATGGGAAGGTATGGGAAGGTTTACTACCTGAGCAACGATTGTCATTCTTACCAAATGAACCTCCACTCGAGACTCAGCTCCTCCGACCATATTGGTTCCATTACACCCCATGATACCGCTTCATTTCAATGGCTTACTAATTCATGATTTTCGAACCCCAGCATGCAGTGGAACATCCGGCAAACATTCATCATATGCATATATGTATACATATACTAAAATATGCATATATATATACATAATAATAGTAACACCAATAAAAATAAATAGTCAAAATAAAGGTAATAACAATACAAAATATATTTACATACATTAATATATTATATATATATATCAACATATGTATACATTAACACATATATAACACCCTATATATAATAAGATGTATAAATATATAAACATAATATAGATATATACATATATACATATATACATATATCAACATATATACACACATAATTATAACATATATATATATATACACTAACATGTATCTAAACATATAGCAATAACATAAATGCATAAATTCTATATATACATATGATTCAGTGAAATTCAGTGTATATATATATCTTATTATAGATAGATAGATATGCTCTTATAACCCACATTTACTAACCCACTTCATATAGATTACACAGCCCTTGATATGAACAGCTTGTGGTTCTGCCGCCACCCCATTTTTTCGCCACCTTCAGGCGGCAGAAGCCGATGCGTTGCCAGTCCGCATCGGTGACGTAGCCCGTGGTGCGCGAGTACAAGGAGAGGATCACGTCAAGCTGTTCCTGGGTGATTCATGGCATCTACTATACCCCCAGTTAGATTCATGGACTATCCCCTATGGGATGAAGATGGATGAAGTATGGCTTACATCTGGATTATAAACCACGGATCCGATCATCTGGTATCTTGATTCATCATATGTCGGGGATACCAAGGTATTTTCGCTCCGCGCCAGTGGGTATTGGTTGGTTCAAACAGATTACCATTCTTCAACTCACAATCAATCAATCATAGTTTGATCCACTGACAGCTAGCTGGGGGTTAAGTGAAAGAGTTGTGACACAAAATCTGGTGATAGAAGGATTGAATCTTAGTTGATAGTGATATAGTTGAATCAAAGAATCATAATTGATAATGTGATTTTCCCAGTAAAACCTCAATGTATATGGGGTTCCACTGCCACATTTGATGACACAAGATTGATTGCCGGGAAATCAGGGAGATGCCCATTGCGAGACAAATCGCTTGTTGTGATTCTTGAATACCCATTTTTGATCTGTACATTTTCAATCATTTTCAAATCCCCCGTTTTTGATGACAAAATTCTGCAGCACCATGTTTATCATTTTCGAGGCATGACAAATGATAAATTTTCAATAAATTTTCCATTTCCAGTTGATGGATGATTTTTTCCATGATCAATTGGTGCAGCACCAAAGGGCTGGAGGATTGGTGGGCAGCACACTGACCAAAGGCGTCATGCGCCCCTTGTTGCCTGGCGATGTCTAGCCATGGTTTGAAACACCATCCTTGATCAGCTTGATCATCATTTTGGTCTAGACATCATTTTGGTCTAGAAATGGGAGAGTCCACGACTAAATGATGGTTTATCATAACTGGTTGGTGGTTTTAAGAATCTTGAAAAAAATATGAAAGTCAATGGGAAGGATTATCCCATACATTATGGAAAATAAAACATGTTCCAAACCACCAACCAGATAAGTTTTCTCTCTTCTAGTGGCCATGGCATTCCCTATTTTTGGACAAAAGCACAAAAGCACAATTCATCACAATTCCACTTCATGCCAAACACAAATGACCTCAAAAAATCACTCAAAGCTAGATGGAGGGTCATGGATCAGGGCATCTTTTTGACCCTATGTAGTCTGCTAGTATAGCCCCAGGCTACATACACGTCGAGCCACTGGTATTCCAATTTTAGTCTGTCACCTCAGCATATGGCTTATCTTGATCCCCTGCAATAGATAAGCCACCCACAATCGCATATGGCTGCGGATCAATAGATCTATTGCATGGCTAAATGGCGATATGCTGAACATTGCTGAGCATATGGCTTATCTTGTCTAGCTGAGGATTGTGAGGAATTGTGAGGATTGCATATCGCCATTTAGCCATGTTCAGCCACCCTTTAGGCCCTAAGCACGATTTACCGTGGAGAACTTCTGGTCATATCCCATGATATCCTAATGATATCAATTCTTATTCCCACATTTGACAGTTTTTCAATACCTTCTGGTTCTTCAACATAGCGGACACTGGCCCATTGATATGATAAACACACACATATATATATTTACCCATTAAAAAATGTGATCTTTTTCCCATGGGTCACAGGAAAAAATATCTTCGCCGCACCCGGGGCGCACTTTGGAAGAGAAAACGTCCAGCTGTTGCCGGATCTGCATCGGATTCTTTGCCTTGGAAATTCATCGATTGAACCCCCTATTTTTACCAACATTAATATAAGGAACATGGTGGTGAATCAATGGATTGACATGGATAAACATGATGATAAAAATGGGTATGTTCAGACAAACACAGATGTTCAGCCTCCCAAATTCACGATTTCACGCAAGATGAAAAACAATAATTAACTACTTGAAACATTCGAAGCCCGCAGGCAGGTCAGTATGAATAACGCCTGAATGTTTCATCTTCCCCCTCATCATGAAATGGGAAGGCACAGGATTTGTGGTCAGTACCCTTAGCTAGACTTAATTGGCATGACGAGTCCTAGCCACAACATCCACAATAGGAATGAGGCATCTGGCATTCTTCTTCAAGGCATTGTTGCAACTATTTACTATTTTGCAAGCTCATTTCACCCATCATCAAGACCTGGTCTTTGTTCCCCCATGTTTCCCCCCATCTCATGGATGATCCCATGCAAATTAGTATTGCTTTACATCCAACTTGCTGCTTTCAAACTCCATGGTGGCTTCTGCTTACCTATCACCCAAAGGGGGCCCGGCTTTGTCTGATTTTGTCTGATGGACACCCCTATTTTTTGCCATAAACTCTGGTAGAAAATCTGCTCATCCAGTACCAGAATGGCTCTAAAACCCAAATTTTGGTCGGTTTCCCCATGGATTTCCCCCACAGCTTTTGGTCGGATCGCCCCCCAGATTTCGCACCCAGCAACTCCGCGAGGCTGTCTTGGTCTTCTTGGACTTGGTTCCGATGGCCATCTCCAGCATCACCTGTGATGCGGATACCATTCAGCCCGTTACTAATATCATATATATATAGTTATATATATATACATATACTGTATACTTAGAATTATGCATATATTGTATTAGGAATTGGGATGAAAACAGAATTCGCTTGAGTAGTTTGATGTATTTTATAATTACACACATCATGTCAGATGTATTTTATATTTGTCTCTGTCGGTCTATTTGTTTAGATTAAATCTAATCTAGTCTACGTCTGTGTGCAAACCATATGCCCAAAGTAGGCTCAATTTTCAATGGCATTTTCCGCAAGATACCCAACAGTTCACTTGCTGGTTTCCGCAAGTATACAAGAGAATCAATGGATTGGTTTAAGGGAAAATCTACAGGAAACCATAGATTTTCCCATTAAATATGGGACTTTCCTGTAAATTTTCTTTTAAACCAATCCATTGAGAGAATCAAGAGACTAGAAAATGGAATCCATAGCCACACTGCAACTGCTTCAAAGATACAATGAAGGTTCAACAAAAATGTGAGTAATAGTGGTTCCCTACTTCGACGTGACGATGAATCACTGAACTCCAAACAAAACAACAACTGCAACACGCCTAATCTGAGATATGGGGTGTTTTTAGGACAATAACTATGACACATGGGATGATATTCCTCCATTGATTTTACGGTCCTTGATCTCGCCCCAAAAGCGCTTCTCCCAGAAGAGCGTTTCGGACCTCGCTACCAGCGCAACCGGACACTTCGAAGACATCCATCCTGAGATCAGGGCCAAAAGGCGGCCCCGTTTGAATGTCGGAATCACCCACAGCAGTATAGAAAACATATCTGATAGATCTACTCAATGTTGCCAATATCGGGGATGTGTATATACAATTATATACATATACACAGTATATATATATGTATATAATTATATATATATATGCAGAGTATACATGTGTAGACATTGTATCATCTATTACACCAGCAGTGCAGCAATGATGATGCGGACATTATGATGCGGAAGGATGTTCAAGACATGATCAAAATTGGTCCCTGAGTTTGATACGCTTTCATCAAACCTTGGGAAATATCAGGTTCTCAGGGGAACAATCTGAATTGAGCATGAAAATGCCAAATGTATGCCAAATGTATGCCAAATGTATGCCAAATCAACTTGCTGTGACAGGATCAACTTACTTATTTACAATGTATATGATATAATATATATATATAATTGTACTGTTGCGCAAACCGATGGTGTTATAATTAAGATATATATATGTATAGATCAACTTACTGTGTGAATCCACAAACCAATAGCGGCTAAACTTTTAAACACTGTTGCACAAAGGCCATGGTTGAATCATGTTGAATCACCATGAAGATATTAAGCTGATTTAAGTTGGTTATGTATCCAATATCTTCCCATTATCATTCATTATCATTATGTATCCAATGTTGTATCCAAAATCATTGAAGCTGATAAGTTGGTTATATATCTGATTATTTTTTTTCCCTATATGAATGCCAATATCTGACCCATTAAGCCATCACTGTCCCCATTTTTCATGTTGGATACGCCATCGCTCCAAGGAACAGGAAATTCTGAACTGTGGAGGGCGGTTCCTCGCAGGGTCCTCCCCTGGTCGAGAATCGATGGGATCTCATGGGATGTATTTGGATATCATAGGGATACAATGGGATACAAAAAATAAGTTCAACGTTCCAATATTAATTGGAGATTATGAAAACATGTTTTGACCATAGTTGTTGGATAGCTATATATATATAATGCATCATCTTGCATCAAAACTGGCGCCTCATAACTGCTGGGAGTTGCTGCGCAGCCATGGATTCAACCTGGCCAACCAATGGGTTGCAGCAACAAAAAGATAAGGTAAAACACTGAGTGAACCACTCTAAAAATTTTGGTCAATGGCTGGGTTCAGTTCGAAGCAAAAAGCAGGAAACCAGCTGGTTCCATAAAATTTCTTGTGCTAAACAGGGTACCCTCTGGTAATGACTAACATAGCTATTGAAGCCATGGCCATAGAAATAGTGGATTTTCCCATCAAAACATGGTGGATCTTTCTATAGTTTTTTGTATGTTTACCAGAGGGTAAAAAAATCATGTGAGCCATTCCCTCTGCTTGGTATCTAGATCCCTTCTGCTCCAAAAATAGACTCAGAAGGTGTTTAAAACACTAGGTGGGCCGATGGCCCAGTTAGAAATGGGTTTCTACCCGCATTTCCTATAGCTATATTTACCATAAATCATAATTCACCTAGCTATAAACCAGCTTGGCGAGTGCGCCCTAGCAAACTCCCCCGCCTTGTTTACTCGTGCACTGATCAGCAAGCCTCACAAGGTCAGCAAACAAAAACCAAGGGCAGCTTAGGGATGTCCAATGCATTGTTTGATATTGTCACCAGTTGATAGATGGGCAAAATTCCATTATTTATAGGGTTTCAACCATCCGAGGTGGTACAGGATTTCTTCCATCCACAGTATCTTTTGATATTGTATGATATCTCCAAAACATGGACAGATCTATACACACATCGCAGTTCATAAGCCAAGTATGTCAAATATATTGGTGGTTTGGGAAGTATCGATTCATGGTATTGAATCAGCTAAACATTGGAATAGCAAGTCCAAGCCTCACTACTTGGATGTGCATCCCAGTTGGTATGTGTTTTTTTAGCCCTATATAACCCCTATATATAACGTATGTATAACTGGGCTATTTCATATGGTTACGGTATCACATATTTAAATGATGCCTGGAATGCACAACCCAGTGGTACCCTGTTCAACCGATCCGTTGTTGCTGCCTACTCACATGTTGCGGACATGTTGCGGACCTTGGCATCATGTATATGACCGCATATGTATATTTTATCCGTATACATACAAACATATCGCAGATGTATATGTGTATGTTATACATGTACACACACACATATATAAGTACATGAAATCAAATCATATATCTATCGTTCTACATCATATACATCATTATATATATATATGTATATATACAGACAGGTATTCCCATGGATCCCATCGGCAAAAATCTCTCAAGAAACGCCCCAAGTAGGCATTCTCTTCGGCCACTTCGCCACTACTGGTGATGGCTTGCACGTCAGGCACCTGTTGAAAAACGAGCCAGTTTTCCCAGCAAAAAACGATGGAAACGCCATGGAAAAACGGCCCATTGATCTGGGTAATAATTTCACTAACCATGGTTAATATATGGTTAATAATACTATTAATGGTATTATGGTTGTTATTAATGGTTACTATTAATATATCTGGGTCAAAAAAAAATATGTCGCTAACCTGAAATGTTGGGCTATTTTGGGATAGTCTTCCTCACTAACCATCATTCCAGTGAGGGAGAAGAGTGAGGTCATTATAATTTACCCAGATTTATAGATCATCTACCTATAAATAAGACATGGTGATTTCCATAGTTATGTTAAATCACCAAAGGGTATCAAACAAAAATATGGTACGGCATGTTTCTATACTATCAAAAAAAGGATACAAAGCCCATCAAGTATAGAACACACGATCCACAAAGAATCGTGTTGTCCCTCGTTCTAACGGGTTTCGGAGCATGTTTTCATGTATTTTCCACATTGAAATTGCCATTTGGAGGGACATTTTAACGCGATTGTCCCCATCTTGGGGGTATCCATACCCATGGCGAAACCATTAAAACTTGAAAATGGCCATTGGTGTATCTGGACGTGGGGCATCTACCTGCTCCACAAATTGGATTGTTGATACTGGTTGATCATCAGTTTCACGAGTCAATGGCCATAAATAGGGATATCACATGATATCACCTTTGTTTTGACTATGGAAACACATGCCGGAAACAAACACTTGCTGAGATTCATGCGGCCGGAAAAAGACAGCAAAACCACAAGTTTGAAGTTTGAAGTGATATATATAGTATACATTATAGTGGTTGGAATAAACATTTCATTCAATTTTTGAAGGTCATGCTCAAGTTTCAGGCTTGTATAAAATGGCACTTCCATCTTCTATGATAGACCCAACACACATAGCTATGAGCTTTTCGAAGGCCTGATGTGTCCACCCAAACTTCCCCGATTGGATGATGAGCACCTCCTCACTCTTGAAGCCATAGAAGTTAAACCATTTGGGCGACATGGCATGCATTCCTACCAGCCAGGTGAGCATGGGCACGTGTCATTTCGGCAATGCGTGAGGGGCTCATGTTTGGAAGCAGCACGAACCCCCGGCTATGATGGGCATGTGGATGGGAGCTGCATGAATTCGGTGATTTATCAGTTTGCCAAATAGCCCATGGCTGCAAATATAGACGCCCATTCCCAGATTCTTTGAAGATGAATCACCTGGAAGCTCTTCACTCAACACCTTGTGAAAACGATATAAAGCAATGGGCTTGCAGGTAAGTTCCCAACATACTTGCACAATCTAGTTGGTTGTTTTTGCCCCTGTTTTCAGCCTCAGCGGTTTGACCTCAACACCTGTTGTAGAACCTAGAAGTGTAGCATGAAATAGACCCCCATCAGCCATATAATTTCATAGTTGTTTCCCCAGTTTTACCCCAAAAAAACACATGGACCATCAATTTGAAGGGATCTCGCCCAAACAACTTTAAGTTCTTGAAACCATTGAAAGCTGAAAACATTGAACACATTGACAACATATTGTAACACTGACAACTGTAACCATCAGAATAGGAACACTAAACCCATAATCATAATACTGTAATAATACACACGATACTTATAATGATGATAATCGTGATAATGCTCAATATAATGATGATATTCGTGATAATATCTGACAATAACAATATTTATAGTAATAATCATAACAGTAATAACAACAACACACGATAATCACAAGATATTATCATCATTATCATTGATAGTAGCAGTGCAATGATCAAACTTCATTCCTATAGAAAATAGAACTTGGATGTAACATAATTCTATATATGTGGACGTTTCCTAAAGTAGGCTTGCCCCCAAATCATCCAGTCGTCATGAATGACCATGACTATTGAAACCCATGGTGACTTGGTGGGGATCCCCCATTGGTTCATAAAGTCCATTAACATCCATTCACTATAATTCTATCCCCCAGAAACCATGGGTTTTCATGTCATATCCTATATCCCTCCGAAGAAAAACATGGGCCGAGTATGGCCGAGTAACGCAGCAAGGAGAAGGACAATCTGCCCTGCACGATGATCTCGTCGCGCATCCACTTTCCAGAGTCCCAGATGCGAATCACCTGGGGTTCCGGGAAATCGCCAGCGAAAAACGTTTTTTTTTCACACTTGAAATATGTTGAAATCCTTAAAAAATAGGATTTCATCCTTCGATAATATATATATATGACGATTCTACTGTACCGTTCATAATCAACCAATTCACCAGCCAGGAAACCATTTACCAACTATTACCTTCACTGCATCAGGTCTTCTCTCACCAGGTGACAATGGAGTCCTGGAAGAGAGGAGTGGTCACCGGAATTCGGAACTGCTCATCGAAGGCCTTTGCTGGTGTTTGGAGGGCCGCTGAGTCATTGGATGCTCGAAAATGTTCGCAATGTGTTTAGAATACTAACAACAAGTGGAACATGTTTTGATCATTTGGCGTTTGGATTGAAATGATTTTCAAGATCTTTGAATCCCACATCATATTTCCTTCCTAAAAAGACCCATTCTTGCGAAGTTGGAAGGGCCACCCGATCTTGAATTTACACAAGGTCCGAAACATGGTACCAAACAATGATATTGATTTTGAAGGTCCTCAACAATTATTGTATGGCACACAGTTTTAAATTGACTACTCCTTGACAATATGAATCTATTAGTATTTTTGTCAAATTAATACTATTTACTACTAGTATGATTATTGCGTTACCTTCTGCCAACCTAGCATGGCAAGGGGGTATCCCTATCTTTAGGAGGAGAACCATCTGTAAGTACTTCTGGAGGGTACATGCCCAACTTCTGCATAGCCCATTTAGATGATCCTTGAGGTTGTACATGGATCTAGGGACTTATAAGCCAGTTGGTACTCTTTTGGGATTAGCTCAACATTGTTGAAGTCCATTCTGTTGGTAAAATCTTGGTTGCTTTTAGATTTTTTTAAAGGAACTTCCCAAGGAACTTTCCATTGGGTTCCTTCAGTTTTCCATTGAGTATCCACTGAATCCATGATCAATTTCTAGTGGTTTCCATTGATTTCCAATCCCTGCCACGCTGCTAAGGTATGCGTATCCCGCGCCGCAGGGGTCCGCAGTTCGTGCCCATTGAACTCAACCTGTATGGCTTGGTGAAGACGTATGTTCAGGCTATAGTTACCCTCTGGTAAACTAATATAGCTATTGAAGGTTGCCATTTATAGTTGACTTAGCCATCAAAAATCGTGATTTTCCATAACCTAAAGATTTTCCAGGGGAACCAGCTCCAAAATTTGCCGCATGAAAAATAGATTGCCATACTTGGGATTGATTGGGGGTATACTCCATTTTCAGACAAACCCACAGGCACATTTTGTTTTTAAGCTTTATTTTGAACATGGCTGAAACCAATTCTTGTTCGTTCACATCCCCATCATGAGTGAAATGTAACAAACAAATACAGTCGATGCCAAGTAAATACCCAGTGATTTTGACAGCTGCGTGTCGGCCAAAAACCTGCTAGCATGAATAGCCAGTGTTCGGATGTGACTAGCCAGGTCTTGTCAGACCTTCTGAATACGTCAAATATGTTGGGTCAGTAGCGCATACGAAATCCACTGAATCAGGGATGAAATGAAGTGATGAAACTCCAAATCAAAGCCTAAACAACACCACCATACCACCAATCTTTTGGGACAGAAAGGCAATGCGGCGTTTTTCTAAAGACCCATTGAATTGAGATCACCTCAAAATGGATCTGGAGGGAGTGAGATGACTTGGAAGACTCGGATGTCCACAGAATGAGACCTACGCTCCCAGGCTTGAACCATCCACAGGTGCGGAGAGCCCTGAAATTCTAGCTACGACAACAAAGCAACCGTTGATTAGCCCAGAATATCCTCTGTTTGTTGGTTAAACCACCCACTTTGCATCGTTTCTCGAGTTAACCCAGCAATTTTTGTTGGTCAATGGTGTAACCTCCCCAAAAAGCAATTCCAACGGAACCGATTTGAGGCGCTTTCTGAATTCTTTCACCGAGCTTCTGAGACATAGGGATTAAACCTAGCGGCTCAGCGACCGGGGAAGTGATGGAATGTTGCACCTGGTTCTGGAATGTTCTGGAAATCTTTCGGGGTGAAAACATGGCATGCTCCAAAGTTTGGCAGCCATGCATTTTCCACTAGCTTGTTGTAAGCTGGTTGTGTTTTTCGGACCCAGGTCACGATCGAAGATAAGAAAGGATCTTTGCAGCAAACATTGGAGGACTTCCAAGTGTGGCAGCCCCAAATCAATGGATGATTTAGGAACCCCAACCATTCTGGGACCCCAAACTCCAATCCAAACGCAGAAAGCGCGCTGAAGGAGCCAGTTTTGGGGTGGTAAAATTGTGAACAGGTGATATACTTGGGATGAATTCAACATCACATGGGTGTTTCTCTATATTGGGGATCCCCCAAACAGTCTTATTCCATACTAGGAAAAGAACTAATGTAATATAACTTTAAAATCTTGTTGGTCTTGAGTCTTGGGGCTTCCCAATTTACCGACCCAAATCCCATGTTTCGCTGCTTCGATCTGAGGAACGTCTTCTCTCCTCCACCCAAATGCTCCGCGCGATGAACTTGCACAAAGAGGTGATAGAATTGATCTCGGCGACCGCATGGCAGCACCGGAAGAGCGTGACGTATGAAGAAAAAACAGTGGCCATTGGCCGAAACCTCCTCTAGGTAAGTTTATGGATGTTTATGAAAATGGAAGTTTATGGATGAACAAACAATTCTTTTTTTGGAAGTTTATGGATGTTTATTAGTTTATGGTAGTGTCCATTTAGGTGTAGCACGAGCATCCTCTCCTCAACACTCTTTGACCACAAGTTCCAAGCCATGGATCTGAAGTCAGCCCTTGAACGTACTTAGATGGCCAACCCATCTGCAATGGTGGTTGGTCTGGTCTCAACTCTTTCCAAAGATGTTTGTAAATCTGGGATAGTTCTTCCCACATTGGGCTGGAAAGTTCAATACTTGAAACCACCGACCAGCTGTATTGGATAGAATCTCCCTAGATCAATATTAATACCATTGATTTAGAAATTCAAAACGGGGTTTTCCCATAGCTGTGTTAGTTTACCAGAGCGTATTCCTTATATCTTGTACACATCATCATTAATCATGCCAAATGTTTATCCGCATGATATGAGAAGTGAAAGATTGCCTAGTTTGGTGTGTCTGAAAATAAGCTACCCAAATCTACCCAATCATTTTCTACATTTTTTTGGGGCCCTAATTTCCAGATATCCCCATTAAAATATCCATTAAACCACCATTCAACGCCCTGTGGATGAAGCCAGGCCCGAACTGCCAAGTGTCTGAATTGATTCTTGTTACCTTCGGGCATGTTTCAGACGCCATATTTCTGTGATGCTGGATCTTGTGTGCCGTTGTCAGGTCACATCTTATTCCATCTACTTTGCATCTATAATATAATATATTATAGTATATTGTATTATATTACATATCTATAATTAGATTATATCTCTATAATTCTATATCTCTATATTTTATTATAATTATATTATATCTATATAATTCTATATGCTGTTCGACACTAATTATGCAAGCCCTGGCTGGGCTCAGAAGGTCATGCCTACCCCAAGATATTTCTGGGCACGTTGGTGAACCCCCGTGGCCAACCAACGGCTGCAGCAAAGGAGCCCTTTGAAAATCGAGAATCAACGAGGCATCATGTTGTATATTTTTAAATAGTTGATACATTATGATACACAATATAGTAGATAGTAGATAGTATATATATGCATACATAGATAGTATTATACACACATATACACATTATACATATGGATATTGTATAGTATAATATCGATTATATGCCATTCAATAGTATCACATTATAAGTGGTGTATGAAGCCCTTCCTTCCGAGCTCCAATGCAACAATTCTCCAAGCCTGTGTCTCCAATGACGGCCGTGGTCAGATCGTTCAAGTGAGCATCTGCTTCCTCCTGTGCCACCAGCGTAGTCTGAACATGATTTAAATGGTTAGTATACCCGCAAGAATAATCCAAGAGTATTAATGGTTAGTATACTAACCACACGTACAATGTATTATTAGTACAATCCAGTATACTAACCATTTAATTATACAATTAGTACAATGATTTAAATGATTAGTATACCCCCAAGATCTATTAATGTGGCACACCCAATGATAAACCACCCCCCAAAATAACAATTTTTATGGCTGGTATAATGGTGGTACCGTCCCCAAATTATAGGTTGATTTTGTTGGCTTTCCCACATTCAAGGAAACAGTTGCCAATTTCAGATTCACATTGATTCTGGCTGATTTGCAACAATTCACAAACCTGAAATGTTGGGACATTTTGGAGATAGTTACCTCTACCAACCATCATTCCAGTGACGTCGCAGAGACAGTGACGTGGTTTTTTTCCTTCACCTGGTCCAATATCTGGCGATTCACCAGTCAGCTCACCCTCCATGAAGCACTTCCCTATATTATTCCCAGTTCAAAATTACAGTGATCATATCGCGACCCAAGGAAAAGTTCAAAGGTCAACGACAGTTTCTAATCTCACCCACTTGAGTGAAACAGCTAGATTCTTACAACATCCACAATATATATAATATTAAAATATATTAAATAATCCCCTATAATCATCAACCAACAGGGGTACCTATAATACTTCAAAATAGTTAATACATGTTACGGCCGATCACTGTCACGCTTCCATCTTTCAGTGGCTCATTGGTTGGGGGCTGGTTTTGTGGTAACCCATTTGGGATCTTTGGGCAAATACAAAATTACTAGAAACCATCGTTAAAAAACAACAACAACAATTGTGATCTCTGACATTCTAAATAAGCCCAAAGAATATCCCCAACAGCAAGAAAGCAGCGGCCGTAGATCCCAAACAGTAATTCCATATAAGCGTGGTAGTTTTTGTTTCATGACCAAGCAATGCAGTGCATTTTTGCGCCGTCCTACCGCCGGCTTCCCCTACTACTACTACTGCTACTACTACTACTACTACCACTACTCTTCTACTACTACTACTACTACTAGTACTACTAGTACTACTAGTACTACTACTACTACTACTACTACTACTACTACTAGTACTACTAGTACTACTAGTACTACTAGTACTACTAGTACTACTAGTACTAGTACTAGTACTACTACTACTACTACTACTGCTAATCTTCTACTACTACTACTACTAATCTTCTACTACTACTACTACTCCTACTCCTACTACTACTACTACTTCTACTTCTACTTCTCTACTTCTACTACTACTACTACTGCTACTACTCCTACTACTACTACTACCACCACCATCACTACTACTACTACTACTACTACCACTACCTACTTACTACGTACTACGTACGACGTACGACGTACAACGTACGACGTACTACGTACTACGTACTACGTACTACGTACTACGTGCTTCCTGCTTACTGCTTACTGCTTAGTTCTTATAAGTGCTTAGTGCTTAGTGCTTAGTGCTTACTGCTTACTGCTTAGTGCTTAGTGCTTAGTGCTTAGTGCTTACTGCTTACTGCTTACTGCGTACTGCGTACTCTGTACTGCGTACTCTGTACTGCGTACTACTCCGTACTACTCCGTACTACTCCGTACTACTCCGTACTACTCCGTACTACTCCGTACTACTCCGTATACACTACTCCGTACTACTCCGTACTCCTCCGTACTCCTCCGTACTCCTCCGTACTCCTCCGTACTCCTCCGTACTCCTCCGTACTCCTCCGTACTCCTCCGTACTCCTCCGTACTCCTCCGTACTCCTCCGTACTCCTCCGTACTCCTCCGTACTCCTCCGTACTCCTCCGTACTCCTCCGTACTCCTCCGTGCTCCTCCGTGCTCCTCCGTGCTCCTCCGTGCTCCTCGTATACTCCTCCGTACTCCTCCGTACTCCTCCGTACTCCTCCGTACTCCTCCGTACTACTGCGTGCTACTGCGTACTACTGCGTACTGCGAGTAGTACGCGTACTACTACTGCGTACTACTACTGCGTACTACTACTGCGTACTACTACTGCGTACTACTACTGCGTACTACTACTGCGTACTACTGCTGCGTACTACTGCTGCGTACTACTACTGCGTACTACTACTGCGTACTACTACTGCGTACTACTACTGCGTACTACTATACTGCGTACTACTATACTGCGTACTACTACTGCGTACTACTACTGCGTAGTACTACTGCTATAGTACTACTGCGTACTACTACTGCGTACTACTGCGTATTACTGCGTGCTACTGCGTACTACTGCGTAGTACTGCTGCGTAGTGCTGCGTAGTACTGCGTAGTAGTACTGCGTAGTAGTACTGCGTAGTACTACAGTAGTACTACTGCGTACTACTACTGCGTACTACTACTGCGTACTACTACTGCGTACTACTACTGCGTACTACTACTGCGTACTACTACTACTGCTATAGTACTACTGCTATAGTACTACTGCGTGGTACTACTGCGTAGTACTACTGCGTAATACTACTGCGTACTACTACTGCGTACTACTACTGCGTACTACTACTGCGTACTACTACTGCGTACTACTACTGCGTACTACTACTGCGTACTACTGCGTACTACTACTGCGTACTACTGCGTACTACTGCGTACTACTGCGTGCTACTGCGTACTACTGCGTACACTGCGTACTACTGCGTACTACTGCGTACTACTGCCTACTACTACTGCGTACTACTACTGCGTACTACTGCGTACTACTACTGGGTACTACTGCGGACTACTGCGTACTACTACTGCGTACTACTGCGTACTACTGCGTACTACTACTGCGTACTATACTGCGTACTACTACTGCGTACTACTACTGCGTACTACTACTGCGTACTATTACTGCGTACTACTACTGGTACTACTACTGCGTACTACTACTGCGTACTATTACTGCGTAGTACTACTGCGTAGTACTACTGCGTACTACTACTGCGTACTACTGCGTATTTCCACTGCGTAATT